AGGCAGAGTTAGACAGTGAGAGAGAAAGAGAGACAGAGAGAAAGGTCTTCCTTTTTCCATTGGTTCACCCCCGCAAGTGGCCACTATGGCCGGCGCGTTGCGATGCACTGATCCGAAGCCAGGAGCCAGGTGCTTCATCCTGGTCTCCCAAGCAGGTGCAGGGCCCAAGCACTTGGGCCATCCTCCACTGCCTTTCCAGGCCACAGCAGAGAGCTGGACTGGAAGAGGAGCAACTGGGACAGAATCCGGCGCCCCCAACTGGGACTAGAACCCAGGGTGCTGGCGCTGCAGGTGGAGCCTAGTGAGCCACGGCGCCGGCAAAAATAAATCTTAAAAAATATATGACACTTTTGTAAAAACCATAGGCCAAATTATAAATTATTCCAGTTTGAGACTAACCCAACATCTAATTATGAATGTCCTTATACCACTAATAAATACCTGACATAATACATGCAATTTATTCTACCCTAATTGTGGTGGAATGAGAAGGCCATGCCAAGATGGCCGCTGGCAAGCTAGCATCACTTACTCAGGAATGGCTTTAGAAACAACCTGAGAAACCACCTGGCAATGGAGCCTGCCTGGCAACAGGCTGTGATTGGTTAGGGCATAAACTGCCCCTTGACCAGATTGGCTGCCTCAGCTATATAAGCTGCTGTACCAACTGAAATAAACGAGTCTGTGGGCTGCTTGCCTCTGGCCCACTTTCACCTGATTCCTGGTGTCTGTGTGGTGACTCCACGCCTCTTGCCCCCACCATGCTCCTCCTCTCAGAACAAATCCACAGCAACATCTGGTACCTAACATGACTGAGAGAAAGACAGAGTGTCGGACTTGGTGAAGTCCCCCCTTGATTTTGGCAAGTAGGCCCCTCAGTGCTGTTCGGTTCTTTGAGGGTGAACACAGAATCCTCTCCTACACCCCTTTCCTTGTCCTTGTCCTCGGTCTAAGTGACCCCAGGTTAAGCACACACCGCCTAAAAGCATAACACCGCTTCTTGGCCCCTCCTTTTACTTTAGTTCGCCTGGCAAATTCACATAAGGGACTGATCACCCCAGAATTCAGAACCAAGTCATCTTCCCTCACTCGAGAAAGGTGATGCTCTGGAGACACTGTGTGGGCATACATGCTATGGCCTTGACCTAACAAATCACGGAAGTCCCCCACAAAGCACAGGACATACTTACAATCTGATACACCACTCTGTTCATCTAACGTAGGGAACCCCCTGCATAAGGCCATCAGCCGCTGAGGTGTTAGGAATTTGTTTTGTTATGTCAGCAGTGCTATTGGTGTCTTTCCTTTGGCTAGACTTGGTGTGGCACACTGCTCTTAAACACTCAAACATGGGAAAGATACCCCCTCTCAGAAACTCACACAGATTACCAAACATAATGAATCTGTGAGTGATAAGAGCCTGTCACTCCAGGTCTCTGCCTCACAGGCAACAGTTGATGACTTGGGGAGAGCTCTGACAGTGAAAATGACATGACAGCAGACAACGCAGCAATGCCTAGTCAGCCACCCCCCCAAATATCCATGGGATGAACTTAGACGATCTCGAGGTGATAACCCATGCGAGGTCATCCCATCTACACCCAGCGAGGATCCCCATGTTTGTGGCAGTCCCCGGGCACCCCAGGCTCTCAGGACAGCCACTAGACCCCATCCCACCTGTATGTTTTCCATTAATATTGAAGTGGACACAGAATTCAGGCCCTGGATTCCAACGCCCATAAAAAGGCTTCTGCTAACCAAGGGCTGAGGATATGCTTGTGTCTTTCCAGAAAATGCGGGACAGCCCATTTGGATACCAGCCAGAAACATCAAGCCTGCAACTGACAGTCAACCAGAACCAGCTGAACAAGTTGAGAGTCTGCCTTGTTAGCGAATGCACCTGTTACCAATTGTCAAGCTGCTGCCGTATCATCCTACCCTGTGGAACTGCCCATAGCTACATCTGCTACTGCTTTATACCCCATTAGCTCTGGTCAGCCACTCAAACAGCCCACAGCCTGCGTGCAGTCATGCCATTCCTGATTACCATTGTTCCTCATTCCTACCCCCATCTGAGCAAGCACTCCTGTGGTTTCCCATTTTGAAGGCTGGTTAGCCAATGACAGGTAAGATCCCCTGGGAGACAACCTAAGACAGGCACAGCTGCAAACAGAGACCACATGGAAATGGAGTCAACAAGGGTATGGCCAAGAATCATGCCTCCCATTGCTCAAAAATAAATGAAAAGTGGGAAATGTGGCAGAATGAGAAGGCTATGCCAAGATGGCCACTGGTAAGTGAGCATCACTTACTGAGGAATGGCTTCAGAAACAACCTGGGAAACCACTTGGTAACAGAGCCTGTGGTTGGCAATAGGCAACAGGCTGTGAGTGGTTAGAGCATAAACCGCCCCTTGACCAGATTGGCTGCCTCAGCTATATAAGCTGCTGTACCAACTGAAATAAACGAGTCTGTGGGCTGCTTGCCTCTGGCCCACTTTCACCTGATTCCCGGTGTCTGTGTGGTGACTCCACGCCTCTTGCCCCCACCACGCTCCTCCTCTCAGAACGAATCCACAGCAACACCTAATAAATATGTTACAAAATGTACCCAGTGTATATGGGACAAAGATTAGCACTTAGTGTCCCTATGACAGGTGAAATCAGAAATAAATATCATGACTTCAAAGAAAACAATAACTCACACCTTGATTTGTGCCTGAATCCTGGACCAGATCTGTCACTGAACCATTGTACAGCAGTTTTTTTTTTTTTTCAGGATATCCCAGTTTATATTTTTTCATGAACAGCAATTAAGAAATATCTTTTAAAAAGATGAATAGAATGTAATATCAAATTATTTAGAGAAAATGTATCTCCTAGAACCAGTGTCCATATGGGATGCCGGCCTGCAGGCGGAGGATTAACCTAGTGCACCATGGCACTGGCCTTGTAACTAGCATTTTTAACAGATGAAGAATAGACTGATTTAGGATGGAATGGATGTAATTGAAGGGAAACATAGGAATTAAATGCAGAGTAAGTATTTTTTTGAGAAATCTTATATGGGGGCCTGCGCTGTGGCTTAGTGGGTAAAGCCATCACCTGCAGTGCTGGTATCCCATATGGGTGCCAGTTCTACTCCCAGCTGCTCCGCTCCAATTAGCTCCCTGCTAATGTGCCTGGAAAAGCAGTAGAAGATGGCCCCGGCCCAAGTACTTGGGCTCCTGCACCTGTGTGGAAGAAACAGAAGCTTCTGGCTCCTGGCTTCAGATGTGCCCTGCTCCAGCCCTTGTGGCCACTGAGGAGTGAACCAGTGGATGCAAGATTCTCTCTCTCGCTCTCTCTCTCTCTGTCCTCCTTCCTCTTGTGACAGGAGACTCAAAAGTTTAAATTGTCTACAAAATATAGCATGCCTGGGTGCTTACAGAACATAGGTTATTTTGCTTGGTTGTTTTAAAAGCAGGACCTGTTCTTCATAAAAATAAATGTTGGTTTGTAACTGACCTTTTTCTGGCTTCTGTATCTCTGCTTGTTTGATAACAGCCAAGGCCACCAGACTATGGTTCTTCCTGCCTTCTCCCAGCTGCAGCCACAGGATAACACAGGTGGCGCTCAGGTCAATGATGCCATGCCTGACCCCAAGCAGGGACCATTGAATCGTTACATTTTTCAAGGAACAAAGTTAGAAAGAAAGTGGCTAATTGGGGGATGGTGCTGTAGTGTAACAGGTGAAGCTGCTGCCTGCGGTGCCGGCATCCTATATGGGCACTGGTTCAAGACCTGGCTGCTCCACTTCCAATCCAGCTCTCTGCTATGGCCTGGGATGGCAGTAGAGGATGGCCCAATTACTTGGGCCCTGCACCCATGGGGGAGACCTGGAGGAAGCACCTGGCTCCTGGCTTTGGATCTGCAAAGCTCCAGCTGTTAAGGCCATTTGGGAAGTGAACCAGCAGATGCAAGATATATATCTCTCTCTCTCCTTCTATGTGTAACTCTTTCAAATAAATAAATAAACCATTTTTTTTAAAGCAGCTGATTGGCTAACTGCTTCTCATTTCTGTATGCCTGTTTTCTGCTTGTACAAGCCAGCACACATGATTAAATGACTGATAAGGGGACCAGCGCTGTGGCATGACAGGTTAACACCCTGACCTGAAGCACTGGCATCCCATATGGGTGCCGGCTACTCCACTTCCCATCCAGCTCTCTGCTATGGCCTGGGAAAGCAGTAGAAGATGGCTCAAGTCCTTGGGCCCCTGCACCCATGTGGGAGACCAGAAAGAAGCTCCTGGCTCCTGCCTTCAGATCGGCACAGCTCTGGAGGTTGCGGCCAATTGGGGAGTGAACCAGCAGATGGAAGACCTCTCTCTCTCTCTCTCTCTCTCTCTCTCTGCCTCTCCTCTCTCTGTGTAATTCTGACTTTCAAATAATAAATAAATCTTTAAAAAATTACTGATAAGAAGAGATTTTGCCTTTAATAACCTCCTGCCATTGGAACACAGGGCTGTCTTCTCCAGACTTGCTCTGTGAGAAGGCAGTTGCCAGCTGGCTAATAAGGACTCCTCATTTGACCTCAAAAGTCTCACTGTGTTTTTAATCTGTACGCCTCACAATACTCTGGGTAGCTCTGCCTTTCAAGTAATCAATCTTGAAAAAAAAAAAAAAAGAAATGTTATGTGTGAATATACTAAGTGACATGGCACCGTGTTTCTAAGACGCATGGTCAAACAACCTCCATGTATTACATTTAGCTTTTATTCAATTTCTCAAATAGTCCAGGAATCAAACGGGATCGGAAAAACGGAGACTCCTTAAAGCCAGCTTTATCTCATTTCTTCAACGTTGTTCTAATAAGCAGCCCGTTTGATGAGCCTCCACTCCCCCAGGGGGCGCAACGCAGGATCCGGTCGCCAAGGTTAGCACAGTGCACGCTCCCGGGTCCGTTTCCTCCCCGGAAGCATTTCCGCTCCTCCGGCTCGAGTCTTCCTGTGACGCACATCCGGTGAGCCGAACTGCGCACGTGCGGCCAGGAAGGAAGTAAGGCCAACTGGGGAGCTGCGCGGCGGCGCTGCTGTGGAGGCGCGTCTCCGGCAACATGTCTCACCTGCCGATGAAACTGCTGCGCAAGAAGATCGAGAAGCGGAACCTCAAGTTGCGGCAGCGAAACCTCAAACTCCAGGGTGAGATGCGCTGAGTGCTTCGGAGGCCGTGCAGCGGCGCTGTTCGGGAGTCCCACCGCCTCCCGTGGGCGCGGGCTGCCTCCCCCCGGGGCACGTGCGCCCGAGTCTGGGGCTGCTGCCCGCGAGTCGCTCCCGGCCTCAGGACCACCACTTTTTCTGAGCATCAGCTTCTCTGTCCAGGGCCTCGGGGTTCCCTGCCAGGCGTCCCGCGGAGCTTCCGCCCGATTTTGTTTTTCCCTCCGGTTTTGCCCGCCTCTCCACTTGGCCCAGTCAGACGCGTGGGACACCGGCCACCTCCGCAGAAGCCCTTGTCGGGTCTCGCAGTGTCTTTCTCTGCCAGCCACGTCCTCGTTCTTCAGCTTGAAAACTCTTCCCTCTCGCAAAACCTCTGACGCCCTCTCTGTATTCCTGTCGCTCCCGATTTTAGGTTACGAGTTCCGAAGACAACTTTTGTGTATGTGTGTGTGATAAATGTTGACAAATAAGTGATTTCATCAGCTGAGTTTTCACTGCTATCTAGAGGCGTGGGGTTGAATGTTTTAAAGTTATGTGAGAATTAGTTATGTGAATAAGATGTGAGTGTCTTTGATTTTTCCATTACTCAAATACTTCCTATTTATCAAATACTTCCTATTAAAGTAACTGTCATCGTCTGACTCCATCTGTTTAAAGCTTTGACCTCACAGGAGATTTCTTGCCCCAGACTTTACTTAAAGATAGGGATAGGATAATTGAAGAAGCTAATGTAACTTTCCCTTTTACGGCATTTTTCCTTAAAGGGAATTTTTCCTCCAGTAGAATACCGAAACAATTGCTGTTGGCTCTAACAAAAATATGAAGGGAGACAACACTAAGTAATTTGAGTCATTGAAGTCATAGACTTTCTTGGGTGGGATCCCAGTGTTCCCAAGTAAGCCCCTTTGGCATCACAAATTGTGTTTTGTCTAAAGCAAGGGTCTCAGATGTGAGCCTGTCAGAACCCCAGAATGGAGACGTGCCTGACGCAGCAGTGGCAGGTGGGAAAGTGAAGAAGTCCCTGAAACACGCCACGAGTGTGAGCCTGTCAGAACCCCAGAATGGAGACGTGCCTGACGCAGCAGTGGCAGGTGGGAAAGCGAAGAAGTCCCTGAAACGTGCCACGAGTGTGGGCCTGTCAGAAACCCAGAATGGAGACGTGCCTGACACAGCAGTGGCAGGTGGGAAAGCGAAGAAGTCCCTGAAACGTGCCACGAGTGTGGGCCTGTCAGAACCCCAGAATGGAGACGTGCCTGAAGCAGCAGTGGCAGGTGGGAAAGCTAAGAAGTCCCTGAAACACACCATGAGTGTGGGCCTGTCAGAAACACAGAATAGAGCCTTGACTAAAGAAACAGTGAAGAAAGTAAAAGTTAAAAAATCCCCCCAGAAATCTGCTGTGTTAACCAATGGAGAAGCAGCAACAGAGTCGCCCGATCCAGAATCTAAAAAGAAGAAGAAGAAGAAAAAGAGAAAACTGGTGAATGGTGCTGGCCCTGGTAGGTTCTTCATGGACTTTGAATTCAGCCATTCAGTTTCTCACAGTTCTAACTTCCCACTGTTTTTCCTGTGTGTGTGCACTTGTAGAAATCCCCTTTACTCGCATGTGTACCAGATACTAGCCTGGTAGCTGAAAGAAACATTTTGTTGCTTCATGAGGCGGGTGTATATAAGTTTTCTCAAAATACTGAATAATATGCTATGTTTTTACATTCTGTAACCTTGAAGAAAATCTCAGTCTTAGGTAAGAATGTAATATTTTAGGCTTTCTTGTTTGCCAGCACCATTACAGAATCCAACAGTAAAGAAATCTGGGCTGGTAGTGGAATCTGTCTTCCCAGGTCTGTCTGTCTGTCTATATTTATTTATTTGAAAGAAGGGAGAGAGATCTTCCATCCACTGGCTCACCCCCAGGTGGCCACAGTGGCCTTGATCCAGATCTCCCACGGGATGCAGGGGCCCAGACACTTGGGCCATCTTCCACTGCTTTTCCTAGGCCATTAGCAAGGAGCTGGATCAGAAGTGGAGCAGCTAGGACACAGACCTGCGCCCATATGGGAGGCAGCATTGCAGGCAGTGTCATTACATGCTGCACGAGAGTGCCAACCCTAGAATTGGAGATTTTAATTGAGATGTGGATAGGTAGAGATGTCAGGTAAGAAAGGATGGGTTAGCCAACTTTGGCCTTTCCAGTTGTTTGAATAAAGCTTTGTTGGATCACAGTAATGCCCATTTGTTTATTTGGTCTTTATTGCAGCAAAAAAAAAAAAAACATGGCCGGCAAAGCCTAAAATATTTACTATTAGCCCTTTATAGACAGTTTGTGTATTCCTTAGTTAGGGCCTGCTATTAACGTGTCAGATGCTAAGGTTTCCATCCTTTAGGATTCTGTTATGAGTCTTCCCAGGGAAGTAGCATTACTTTTACTCTCAAGCACCGAGTCCCAGGGCTGGGAATTTTAACCTTCTGGACAAACCTACCTTAAGAACTGAGTTAAGGAAAATGAAAATGACAAGCCATGGAAAGCAACTGAGGATTTCTCCATGGCTTTTGAACATAAGAATTTTAAGAATTCACCATTTCTGGAGTTGGTGTTGTGGTGCAGCAGGTTAAGCTGTTGCCTGCAACACCAGCATCCCATATGGGCACTGGTTCATGTCCCAGCTGCTCCTATAACTTAAATGAAGCTACTGGCTTTGGGCTGTCCCAGCCCCAGCCAGTGTAGCCATTTGGGGAGTGGAACAAGTGGACGGAAGATCTCTCACTCTACTTTCTCTCTAACTCTACCTAGTAAATAATTGAATAAATAAATCTTTAAAAAGAGTTCACCATTTCCCAGAGGGTTGACATTCAAGGAACTGGAAGAGGCCAGTCCTGGCTACCCAGAGTCCTCAGTTCCAGTCTGGGTCACTTCTGTTAAAACTAGCATCACTAACTGCAATAAATTTCTATAAAAGCCCAGCATGGTAGTAAAGCCATTTGACCTAGAGTGGACCATTGAGAGTCCTGGAAGGTGAGATGGAGAGGTGATATGTGGCCACATTGTAAAGACTGTGACTGCAGCAGTGAGGAGCTAGGAACTTCTGTCTCACTAGTGATAGACAAAAAACAGCCCAGTATCATTGTCCAGCCAAGCAGGTGATTGACCTGGCTTTATAGTTTAGAGATGTGAAGAACCCTCATAATTTGTGTTCACCTTTAAAAGAAAAACAGCTTTCATAGAAAATTAGTGGTAAATGGCATGGGGGGGTGGGTAATGAGTTTGAAAAAATGAGATGTGGGTTTTTTTTTCCCTCCATGAAATATGTGGAACTTGGAGTTCTTTATGTTTAATAGTACCTATAAAAACTTTCTGAATGAGATAGTATACATTGGGGTATCTTAAAAAAATAAAGTTAGTACTAAATATCTTAAATTCGTTGAACTATACCTCATTTGATATTTTCATTTAAAAAAATGTGTTTTGTCCTTTAAAACCAAAGATACCAAAAAAGCAAAAATTCAAGAAGAAGGCACCAAGGCTCCTACAGAAACAGAAGACAGTGTGGAAGCAGCAGACAATGAGGAGGATGACAGTGAGGCTCCCAGCCTGCCCCTTGGACTGACAGGTAACTTCCAGGGTGTTTTCTATCTATATTTCCTTAAAATATCCTCTCTGGAGGGTAGCATTCAGTTGTGAGCCTTCAGTGAAAAATATCGACAGGAGATATTCTTCATATCTTTCTGCTGTTCTATTCCTGACCCTAAGTGTTTTTGCACACAGCTTCTAGGACCCTTCATCTCTTTGGTTTGTCCTTTTGTACTATGATAGGAAGATCATTGGCCAGGAACGCTGGAGATCAGAGGTTTAGTGCAGGCTCAGAAACTGCTAGGGGAGGGAGGGGAGATTACTATTATGCAGGGACTTTTGCCAGGTTAGCGTCCTTTGGTTTTTATTTCTTTATAAAAGTCAAGAGTTTACAATTAGCTGTGCCTGACTAGAAATATCTAGGAGTTACTTGAATTTTATGTTTGGGGATTTTTATTTGTTAAAAATACTGAGGCTCTCATGTCAGGCCCACTGAAGGTCTCACCCTAACACCAATATAAGACTCAGAACTTGGATGCTGCTCCTGTGGTTTGAATATAGTTTGCATCAATTGCAGGAATTTAACTCCAAGGTCATACATTGGTATTAAGAGAATGAAAGCTGTGGTGTTTAGGGTGGAACTCCCGTGGTTGAATTCTGGTGGCCCGGATAACAGACACATGTGCTCCTGCCTCTTGCCATGTAAGTCTGTGCTGCCTCAGAATTCTGCCAACAAAAAGACCATCATCAAATGTGGCCCCCAGGTCTTATACCTCCAGAACTGAGAGCCAAAGTTAAAAAAATAAAATAAAATACTGAGGTCCAACCCCAGACATGCTCTATCAAAATTGCAAAGGCTGTGCCGGGGTCCTCAACCAGAGCAGTTTCGCCTCTCAGTTAGGGTGACTGACTTGTCCTGCTTTGCCTAGAACTTACCCAACTTATTTTTTAAAAAGATTTATTTATTTATTTGAGAGGCAGAGTTACAGAGAGGGGAAGAGAGGTCGGTCTTTCATCCACTGGTTCACTCCCCATACAGCTGCAACAGTTGGAGCTGTGCCAAACTGAAGCCAGGAGCTTCTGGGTCTCCCATGTGGGTGCAGGGGCCCTAGCACTTGGGCCATTTTCCACTGGTTTTCTAGGCCACAGCAGAGTGGATCGGAAGTGGAGCATCCAGGACTCAAACGGGCACCCATATAGGATGCCAGCACCAGCCCCTAGAACTTGTCCACTTCTAACAGTGAAAGTCCAGCAACCCCCTTTCCTGGGTATTCAGGGAAGATTGGTCCCTGTGCCCCTAGGAGACACTTAAATGGTTGTCAGAACTGAGGGTAGTGTCCCAGCACCCATTGAGGAGAGATCAGAGATGCTGCATAACCTAACATAGGATGGCCTCCCACAGCAACAAATTGTTTAGCCCAAGGTGTCAGTGCAGTTGTTCCTTGACTTAAAAGGGGCTGTTTCAATAAAACCATTGTAAGTTGAAAATGCATTTAATGCACTTAACCTACTGAACATCAAAGTTTGGCTTTAGCTTACCTTAAATGACCTCAGAATACTACATAAGCCAACAGCTGGCCAAAAGCATCTTAACAGAAAGCCTATTTTATAATAAGGTATGAAGTCCTGTTTCATGTAGTTTATCGAATACTATAGTGAAATTCAAAAGTGGTGGTTTGCTGTGTCAGGAACCATCAGTAGTGCCTGATGGTAGGTTAAATAACTGCTGATTTAAGACCTGAGAACGGGGAGTGAGGAGGGGAGCTCTCCAGGCTGTTTTGATGTCTTTCTCTCCTAAACAGTGCACCACTTGGGGCAGGCATTTGGTGCAGCAGTTGAGTCACCACTTAGGGGACCCACATCCCATATCAAAGTGCCTCATTCAAGTCCCAGCTCCGTTCTCCATTCCAGCTTCCTGCTAGTGCACATGCTGGTTGGGAACAGATGATGGCTTCAAATACTTGGGTTCCTGCCGCCCTTATTGGAGACCCAGGTGGAGTTCTGGACTCCTCACTTCAGCTATGGTGGGCATTTGAGGAGTGAACCAGCAGGTGGAAGTTTTCTCTCCATTTGTCTGTCTCCTTTGAAGTAAAAAAGAGTACACTACTTGATATGGAGGTTCTGTGTAACATTTGGTAGCCACATCTGACTGCTCAGTTGTTTTTGGAGTGAGATTAATTTTTTGAGTGACTTCATACTCAGTTTTTAATTACACGTAATGGTTTTTGATTTTCATTTATTTGAGAGGCAGATAAAGAAAGACACATCTTGAGGTTCACACCCCAGCTGCCTGCCAAATTCAAGAACCAGGATCCTGAAACTCAGTCCAGGGCTCCCACATGAGTGGCAGGAACCCAGTGGCTTGGGCCATCCCCACTGCCTCCCAGAGTCATCTTTATTAGAAAGCTAGAATCAGGAACCAGAGCTGGGAAATTGAACCAAGGCACTCTGATGTGAAACACAAGCATCTTAACCACTAGGTGAAATGCCTGCCCGTGTTTTAACTTTTTATATTAAATTTCTTAAACATTTCTCTCTCTACTCTTTTTCCTCTTGCCTTGGCATTTTTTTCATGTAAGTAACTCAGTTACACCTACTCCCTGCCTCATTTATTTGACTGGCAGAGTGACAGAGATCATCAGTTTGCTGGTTCATTCCCCAAATGACTGCAACAGCAAGGGCTGTGCCAGGCCAAGGCCAGGAGCCCAAAATGCAGGGGCCCGGGTACTTGGGCCATCTTTCATTGCTTTCTTAGGTGCATTAGCAGGGAACTGGATTGGAAACTGAGCCGCCAGGGCTCAAACCAGCTTTCTAATATGGAGTGCTAACATCTCAAGCAATGGCTTAACTCGTTGTACCACAACATTGGCAGTCTCTGGACTTTAAAGATAAAATTACATGGTTTCTTAATATTATAGGAAAAATCATCGAAATGATTGAGATTTTTTATTTTGCCATATGAGGCTCTTTTAAGCAAAACTAATTTAGGTAACTGTCGCAGGTATAACTTGTAACATGTTTGCTAATGATTATCTTGCTCAGGAGCTTTTGAAGATACTTCATTTGATTCTCTAACTAATCTTGTCAATGAAAACACTCTGAAGGCAATAAAAGAAATGGGCTTTACAAACATGACTGAAATTCAACATAAAAGCGTCAGACCACTTCTGGAAGGCAGGTAGGATTAATGCTGATACTTGGACATTGATTATCTATTTTTAGGGCTGGTAGATTATAAAGGAAATACTCGGGTGTTCTGTTATTTTGTATACAGTGTGATAAATTCTGTATCCTGCCTGCATTAAAGGTTTTTGTGTTACCCCCTGGTGTTTGAAGGAAAAGGTTTGCTTCTGTTCAGCAGAGTTCTTATTTCTGCGTTAGGTATATTGTGCAGGTGATTGATTTCTGCAGTAGTGAAGATCAGAGCCTTGTCTTTCTTGTTAAATACGTGTTGAATAAGTAGATTAACCATCTTTATTTTTCTTTCCCATTTAATATGTAGAGATCTTCTAGCAGCTGCAAAAACAGGCAGTGGCAAAACCCTGGCGTTTCTCATCCCTGCAGTTGAACTTATTGTTAAGTTAAAGTTTATGCCCAGGAATGGTAAGCTTTTGATCTGTTTGTTCTGCCATTGTATCCCTAGAAGTTTGTTGCCCTTTTTATGAACTCAAAAGACCACAGTCTGACTTTTGCAATGTGTCATTCTTTGCTGCTTAGGGACAGGAGTCCTTATTCTCTCACCTACTAGAGAACTGGCCATGCAGACGTTTGGTGTTCTCAAGGAGCTGATGACTCACCACGTTCACACATATGGCTTGATAATGGGTGGCAGTAACAGATCTGCTGAAGCACAGAAGCTTGCCAATGGGATCAACATCATTGTGGCTACGCCTGGCCGGCTCCTGGACCATATGCAGGTAAGAGTGCTATTATATAGTGCCTGTCTCATCGTTTTATAGCAGAAACACGACAGCTAACAGGTTGTTTTTTGTTTTACCCTTTGTTTTGTTAGAATACTCCAGGGTTTATGTACAAAAACCTACAGTGTCTGGTTATTGATGAGGCTGATCGCATCTTGGATGTTGGATTTGAAGAGGAATTGAAACAAATTATTAAACTTTTGCCAAGTAAGTAGGTAGTACCTGCAAAGTACCTGTTGCCAATTTTTTTTTTGTTTGAAAGGGAGACAGAGTTCTCCCTGTGCTGGCTCTGGATCTCCCTCTTGGGTGGCAGGAACCCAGGAACTTGAGCCATCACTGCTACCTCCAAGAACATTAGCAGAAAGCTGGAATTAGGAATAGAACCGGGACTTGAACCCAGGCTCTCCACAGTGGAATATGGGTCTTCCAAGTGGTGTCTTCAGTGCCACTGTGCCAAATATCCACCCCAAGAGAGTCCTATAGGAAAAAAATTGTACTAGTACCAGAATTTTACCATAACCAGATGAAGTAGTTGTGTCAAACAGCCTTAGAGGTAGTTGAAATAAAGATCAGACTGGCTAGTAGTTTAAAATAGTAGTTTGGCCATTTCAGAGGTTATAATGCAAGTTGAATATAGTTTTAACATCTCATTCTCTTCCCATCCTACCTGTTATTTTTTTTTCTAAAGATTTATTTATTTGAAAGACAGAGAGGTATAGACAGAGATGTCTTCCATCCGCTGGTTCACTCCTCAGATGACTGCAACAGTGGGAGCTGTGCCGATCCGAAGCCAGGAGCTGGGGGCTTTTTCCATCCAGGTCTCCCACACGGGTGCAGGGGCCCAAGGACTTTAGCCATCTTCCACTGCTTTCCCAGGCCATAGCAGAGAGCTAGATGGGAAGTGGAGCAGCCGGGACCCAAACCGGCACCCTATGTGATGCCAGCACTGCAGATAGTGGCTATGCCTGCTAGGCCACAGCACTGGCCCCACCTGTTTATTTTTCTTAACCTCATCTAAGGTCTCCCAGGTAGCTATAATCTTGTGTTATGTTTGACTTGTATATTTCTTGATTTAGTCTTATAAACTGTCTATGTAACAAGGCCCTGCTTCCATTCATTATGATTTGTTTTGTAATGCTTATTGAAATATAATTGAACTGCACACTTAAATGTATAGTGTGATATTCTGTGATGGCTTTAGCTCTGAAACCACTATATTTAAGAGTGAACATGTGCATCACCCCCCATGCTCTTCTGCATTCCCTCATTTCCATGGCTCTTTACACATACACACAACTTCCCAGGTAGCTTTGATCTGCTTTCTGTTCTGTGATTGCACAGTGTGACCCTCCAAATGGCTGTCCTTTTTGAGTTTCCTGCATGGGCAATCATGTCAGGTACAAATAATAACAGTTTTACTTAATTTAATGTTTCTTCTTGCCTGACTACACTGAACTGAACATCTAGTGTGAGAACAATACCAAGTATCAGTGATGATGAGAGCAGACATCCTTGTCTTGTTCCCGATCTTAGGAGGGAAAGCATTCGGTCTTGACCATTATGTATGTGTGATGTTAGCTATAGGTTTTATGTAGATTTCCTTTATGAGACCAAGGAGATCCCTTCTGTTCCTGGTTTGCTGAGGGTTTTTGATCAGAACCAGATGCTAAATTTTATCAGATGGTTTGTGCCTAGTGAAATGATGATGAAATGTTTTTCCTTTACATGTGTGAAGATTGCCTATAGGATGAGGCTTATTTGTGTGCTTATCTGTTGCAGCACGCAGACAGACCATGCTCTTTTCTGCCACACAAACTCGAAAAGTTGAAGATCTGGCAAGGATTTCTCTGAAAAAGGAGCCTTTGTATGTTGGTGTTGATGACGATAAAGCTAATGCAACAGTGGATGGTCTTGAGCAGGTATATTTTATCAATAACTTAAAACTTTAAAGATCACATTTGGTGTTTCCTTGTAGTTGCTTGGAGGATCATTCAGAAAGCAGATGAGTTAATGAATCTTTTATTTAAAATGTAGTAAATGTGGATATTGGGTCCCTTTAGAAATAAAATACCCTGAACCTTGAGTAATTGCATCTGTTCTGTCGTCTGGATACCACTTTCTCATGAGAGGCTTTGCTAATCACTACCAATTCTAAATGCAGGTTGTCTTCCTTTTGTTTAAGAGTGTGAGTTTTAATCATTTCTTTCCCTAAGGTGCAGGATAACTTGGGTGATATGCTGGCATTGCGGGCACAAACTTGTGAATGGTAGAAATGAGAGGGCTGATTCAAACCAATGTAATTAAGATGAGATCTTTAAGATTTAATCTTTCAATGAGTAAAATATTCCATAGAGCTTAATGTAGCTGTAAAACCTTTAATGATTGTTCAGTTTTTAAAATGCTACAGAGGGGCTGGCACTGTAGCGGAGCAGGTAAAATTGCAGCCTGGATGCTAGCATCCCATATGGGCGCTGGTTCAAGTCCCGGCTGCTCTATTTCTGATCCAGCTTTCTGCTATGGCTTGGGAAAGCAATAGAAGATGGCCCAAGTCCTTGGGACCCTGCACCCATGTGGGAGACCCAGAAGGAGCTCCTGTCTTCGGATCAGCCCAGCTCTGACTGTTGCAGCCACTTGGGGAGTGAACCAGTGGATGGAAGACCTCTGTCTCTGCCTCTGCCTCTCTGTAACTCTGCCTTTCAAATATAAATAAATTTAAAAAAAAAAAAAATGCTATAGGATAGGCATAGTGGATAGTGTGCACGTTGTGTGTTTATCAGTTCTCTCAGCCAAATTATATTCTTTGATAAAACTGAAAATGTCTATTTGATTTGTGACTGCTGTCTTGAACCATTTCTAGGGATATGTGGTTTGTCCCTCAGAAAAGAGATTCCTTCTGCTCTTTACATTCCTTAAGAAGAACCGAAAGAAGAAACTGATGGTCTTCTTTTCATCTTGTATGTCCGTGAAATACCACTATGAGCTGCTGAACTACATTGATTTGCCTGTCTTAGCTATCCACGTAAGTGATCATGATGTGAAGTTCTATAGATCATGGACTTGTACGTGTTGCTCCCTCCTGAGTGGCTTGATCAACACCGGGTGATGAATGCTGTGTGGAGGGCGTTCTGCTGGGTTTGACAGGCGAAAACTACAAAGGAGTAAGAGGTGCCATTCTGGAGGGGCTAGCTGCTGTCCAGTTGGGAAAACGGGACCAAGTCTATGGCATTGGTTGAAATAGCGTAATTTCTGCACAGTGTAAAGGTTATACATCTGGACTGCCCAGAAACAGCCTCAAGGCTCCAGCTCTAATTGATCTTTTTGTTTGCTTCTAGGGAAAGCAGAAGCAAAATAAACGTACAACCACATTCTTCCAGTTCTGTAACGCAGACTCCGGGATATTGCTATGTACAGATGTGGCAGCAAGAGGGCTGGATATTCCTGAAGTTGACTGGATTGTTCAGTATGACCCTCCAGATGACCCTAAGGTAAGTAGAGTCCCTGGGGTGTCTTCTAAATGGCTCTGCAGTAAGGGGTATGTGAATCTCCAGATTCTATGAGAAATGCTCATTTCATACACATCGGGTTTGTCCCTACTGTGCAGTCATTGTGTAGTGTTTCTCTGCTGATGCTAATTATTTTAAGGGCCTAAAGGTGTATGCAGGGAAATTTGAGCACATCAATGGGACTTAAGTTAGCAGTGTTTGATCCCTGGAATTATCTTCTAACAGCAGGTGTCTGGAAGAGAGAAAATGTGTTCAGAGAGGTAGAACACATTCTGTAGTATTAGTGGTAGAATAGACTTCAGCAAACAGTTAACAGCTCGCATGTAAATGTTTCCTTAAAAGCCATTTTGAAAATGAAGTACAGTTAAAATTCATGCGTAGTTCTCAATGTTAACATGAACGTTGTGTCTGGCTTTTTGTGAAAATTGATTTAAATGTTGGCTGTCGACCTGTTGTCCCTTTGTGGGGGACATGGTGAAGGTGTGAGAGGTGCTCTATCAGTGGGCTCAGTGGAAGTCAGCATATTAACTCAGGTTTTCTTTCTCCACCACAGGAATATATTCACCGCGTAGGTAGAACAGCCAGGGGCCTAAATGGACGAGGGCATGCCTTGCTCATTTTGCGCCCAGAAGAACTGGGTTTCCTTCGTTACTTGAAGCAGTCTAAGGTAACACTGGTTAGAAAATCTTGTTGAGAAGAAAGTGCCATTGGTAGGGATTGCAAGCTAGCACCATTTGTAGATCTTCGGGGAGGGAGTGGTGGAGGTCTTGAGTTAGATAGAGCTTATAAAATAGTTGCTGCAGCAGTTCAGTAAGTTAGCATTTGCATGCTTCTGGCTAGGAAGCATGGGCAGACTCTAGTTCTGTGTTGCCCAGTGGTGCCAGGCTCTGTTCTCCTGTTCCGTATGGCAATTCTGTCACTGTAGAAAATAATAACTTCATCCCGAAAACCCATTCTCCTGCCACCGTGTCCACAATGGCTACTGCATGTGGTGTTTCCTCAGCTGACGTCTTGGAATTGTTTTATACACTTACCAGTTACCTGCTGCTCAGTTCCCACACTCTGTTCTGACTTTGGCTGTCAAGCTGGAAGTGGCTTCTTTGTTGTTAGGATACGTGTCAGGCCGTCTTTCCACACTTGCCATCTGCACCCAGCAGCTGGATGCAGTGCCCTGAAATTGTCCTGTGGCCTTCACTCAATTTCTATAAAATACTATTTTCCTGGGTCTTTAGGCTGCTAGGATGCTGTGGTTTCAATAGCTGCACTGTCCAGTGGGAAGCCTTCACAGATCCCTTCATCCTCTGTTCTAAGACTGCAGGCTCCAGAATTTGGGCGCCTATTCTTTTTTCCTAATACCTAGCACAAGTCTGATGCTTTTTTTTATTTTATTAAGCAATGACTGAAAACTCCCTTTAGGAGTTTGTGATCACTCTGGCCTATGGTGTCATAAGCCCCATTGCAGGGCAGTGTGCATTAGGACAGCTCTGATGTGGAGAAACTAATCATGGTTATCAAGATTGTCGCAAAAAAGTACTTTGACAGTTGATCATCCCTGTCCAGTTCCTCACCTTAGCCTTTCAGAAAGAAAGACATGGATGATGTGTGGAGTCAGCAGAGCAAAGATAAAGCTTTTTTGTTCACCTTGGGAGACAGAGTTCTCTGTTCTTAGGGAATTCCACAGGCCAGGTTCCTCCTCAGCTGTCTTCAAAGCCTCATGAGCCCGTGGAGTCCACTACGGCCTGGCTTCACTTCCCTGCTGTTTATGGGACATTTTTCACCTGAAAATCTTCAGAGTGATCATCCTGGTTCACTGATCTTTTATACCTTTTGTTTTCTAGGTTCCATTAAGTGAATTTGACTTTTCTTGGTCTAAAATTTCTGACATTCAGTCTCAGGTATACTTTTTTCTTTTTGTTTTGTTCTATTAAATTACATCATGACCAGGAGCTGAACTTGATTATTAAATTACATTTATGGCCAGGAGCTGAACTTGACATAACACTTCCTTTAATGTTCTTCAGTAGGTGATGACTGTCTTCTGAATCCATCCCCTCATAAAATGGGGTACTTAGACTGTGTGACCAACTAGGGTTTTTTACTGTGCTCATGCATTAGTTAAATTTTTGTCACTATAACAAAATACCAGAGATTGGCTACTTTATAAAATGTTGAGATTATAGTACAAGATTGGGTGGCCCCCTTGTCAACCCGTGATGATGTTGCTCTTGTTTGTAGGATCCCAAGGTGGCATCACATAGCAAGGGACACAGTGTGCGTGACTGCCTGTATGGTCTGTACAAAGCCATCAGAATTTAATCATGGGGTAAAGACCCACATCCATTCACCGTGATTGGATTAAGTCTCTGCCCTTTTAGCACCATTAATGGAAGATCTTGGGGGCCATGCCTTTAACATAGTGACCTTTGGGGGACATTCAGCCTCCAAGTAATGCCAGTCATAGCAGCTGATGACCACATGCCTGTGCTCTTGTCCTTCTTTCAGTCTATACCCCGCAAGAACTTCAGCATTGTTTTTGCTGCAGTGTGGTCTTAAAGATAATCCAGAGCCTGGAGCAAGTGTATTAGAACAGATGTTTTATGCAAGATGACTGTTTTAATATATCTGACATCTGCTGGTTTTAATTTATTAAAACCAATCTTTCTTTTCTTTCAGCTTGAGAAGTTGATTGAGAAGAATTACTTTCTTCATAAGTCAGCCCAGGAAGCATACAAGTCGTACATCCGAGCTTATGATTCCCATTCTCTGAAACAGATCTTTAATGTTAATAGCTTAAATTTGCCTCAGGTTGCACTGTCTTTTGGTTTCAAGGTGCCTCCCTTTGTTGATCTGAGTATCCTTTTGTCTGTTACGATATCATCCTGAAACTAAGGGAGAGAAGTTTGGCAGGGGTGTTTGAGGCTTAGCAGTGGGTCGCTGCATGTTCTGGCTCGTGGTCAGTGTGCTGGCATGGCCCACAGAGGTAAGGTGGTGTGAGCAAGGATGGGTGATCAGGGTGGAGGTCACAGGAACAAGGGGATTTAGGTGTCAGTAAAGGTGGGGATAGTTGTGTCTTCCACACAAAGGCAAAATAGCAGAGAGGTGGTTGCTGAGGCCATGCTGTGCGTGTTAACTTTAGGAGCAGGATCCTGTGGACCTGAAGAAAGGGTAGAACCTTTGAGCAAGTTTTAATTTTAATTGTTTCAGACTTGAAGGGCTTTATGCAGGGAAGAAAGTTCTGCAGAAGGAAATAAAACCTCAGTGTTGCCCAAGATAAAAGACAAGGAAGTACCTCCAGTTGCTTCAATTGTGGTGCATGACATGTGCCTCGTTAATGCATTTTCAGCAGCAGGGACATTTTGGGTTGCCATCCCCATCACAGGTCCTGAATAGCAGCCAAAATCCATCTGTTGGGTCCTGAGAAGGGAAACGCTTCAGCACTTTTGGGTGTGCTCAGATAGAAGAGAAAGACCATGGTTGTGACAGCAAGGCTGTGTTTAGTGTGCATGCTGGAGCTTTTCTAAGTGGCTAGATTTTCCTTAACAGTCCCCTCTAGATGTGAACAGCAACGAAGGCAAGCAAAGAAAAAGAGGAGGCGGCGGTGGCTTCGGCTATCAGAAAACCAAGAAAGTTGAGAAGTCCATAATCTTCAAGCACATTAGCAAGAAACCGACCGACCGCCGGCAGTTCTCTCACTGAAGACACGTCTTCCTTTGATCTTGAGTAACTTGTCCTGGAATCAATTTTTTTCCTTTTCTAACAAAGGAATTTTTGTAGCCTTTAAATTTGAACTCAACTAATGAGTGTTCATTGGCTCAGGTTGCAAACAATGGACACTGTGATTTCCAGCAAGTCTCTTGTATTTTTGAGATTTGGGGGCATATAAAGCAGACTTTAATTCCTTGGTTGCCCAAGGGCAAAGCAAGGAATCTTTCTGTTTTCTGATGATACGGTGTATTGATTTTAAATATATTTCCCTCTTTATGTCATTGTTTTAATGTAACTTTTTATACCTTGCCCTCCTGAGAAGTGAGGTTTTTTGTGGCATGAGTTGCTAGATACCAATGTGCTTTTAAAGTGACCTCGGGTCCTGACAGCTGGTGATGATGCACAGATAGTCTCAATTCACTGTTTTGGCGGTAGTTGTTTGCTGGACCTTCCCGTAGTTTCTGGTCCCTCCTGAATGCTGCAGTATGAAAGCAAAGAGCGAGCTCTGGGAAGTACCTAGGAAGCACCTTAGGATAAAGGTGGTATAACTTTTACATAGTCCTGATTTTAAAACTATGAACCTTTGAACCTCTCTCAGTATTAGAGTATTTAAATATGGAGGGGAGTGGGAGGTGTAGGGTTGAGAGGACTGACCTCATTTGCATAAGTACAGGTATATTGTACTATTCACATTGTGGTAACTCAGCAAAAAAGACCTTTCTGAGAAACTGGTTATTCTCATTCCAGTGTCACTCATGCAGTGGACTGGATTTTGGTTAGGGTTTCCAACTTGGCCCAGTACTTGGAAGACCAGACAGCTATCTAGAGACTGAAAACCCACCTGCCTGTATACAGGGCTCGGCCTGCATTACTGTTAGTGAGAAAGAGCACCTCTTCCAGGTCTGAAACAAAAAATAGGTTGGCAGTGAAAACTGGAAATGAACAAAGTCATAAAATAGCAATCAGTGTTGTAGTGAGGTTTTTTGTGGCAGGAACACTTGCTTTCAGTTTTGTGTAATATGTACATACAAAATAAGTATATTTTGTGGTTCAAAACCAGAATAGCTGCATAGTTTTGCTGTTTGGCCAGCTAATATTTAAAGTCACATTAAGTCCACTGAGACCAGGAGCTGCAGAGGAAACAGATTGATAAGTAGCATTCCAGGATGAAAGGACAGCTCAGTGTTCCACCTTTGCACTTGACTACTTACTGTCTCCCTGGCTGGACCTGTCCGGGATGTTACACCTTGGCTGCAGGGCTCCTGGTTTCTTAACTCCTGACGCTTAATAACTATTTCAACAGGACATTGTTTTTCTTGCTTCGTAAATAATCATGTTTCAAAAAATACACAAAAGCAAAGGGAAGATTTAATCACTAAACAAGAGTGAGCATAAGCACTCTTGAGATTTTGGTGTGTGACCTTCCAGATTTATGTATGTGTGTTCATAGTTTTTTAATTTTTTTGTCAAAATGAATTCATCCTTTCCCTATTGTGACCATCTTGTTTCAAAGCATATTATTTTGCTATGTCATTAAATAATCCTGTCCATCTTGTATTCCATGTATGACTGACTGCTGTGCTAACCCTTACTACATCTGCCAGAATTGGGGTTTGGTGGTGCCTGCAGTCCCAGTTTGGCTCTCACTGTGTCAGTACATCCAGTCCCTTCTGTTAACCTTCTCTGGTTGTCCACAGTGTGAGGCAATTGTAAGAGGTTGTATTGAAAACATACTAGAGTGCTGACCAAGGATTTCTGACAAGTTTGCTAGACCTCTCCTCTGGAAGTGTGAAGAGCAGCTCTGGGCTTTGGAAAGCGGTCCAGTAAGTGGCTGTCATGTAGGTTGATGCTGTTTCCAAGGCTCCTCTGATTAGAGCTGTTTTAGGTGGAGGCAGAGCAGTGTGCCTTGGATAACCCTAAGTCATCAATAAACACTTGTCAGGTGCCAGGAAGTGCAGAAGACCTGGATGGATGTGCCCAGGTCTTTGGAGAGGGGATGGGGTTACAGTGTAGCAGGGTTGGGGAATCATTTTTCTGCTAAGGATCATTTGGATGTTTAAAATATCTGTGGGTGGGCTGGCGCCGCAGCTCACTTAGCTAATCCTGCGCCTGTGGCACCGGCACATCGGGTTCTAGTCCCAGTTGGGGCACCGGATTCTGTCCCAGTTGCTCCTCTTCCAGTCCAGCTCTCTGCTGTGGCCCAGGAGGGCAGTGGAGGATGGCCCAAGTGCTTGGGCCCCTGCACCCGCATGGGAGACCAGGAGGAAGTACCTGGCTCTTGGCTTCGGATTGGCGCAGTGTGCTGGCTGCAACACACCAACCGTAGTGGCCATTTGGGGGGGTGAACCAATGGAAAAGGAAGACCTTTCTCTGTCTCTCTGTCTCTCTCTCACTGTCTGTCTCTGCCTGTAAAAAAAAAAAAATTAAAAAAAAATCTGTGGGCCATACAGAATTGCCGGTTTAAAAATTAGTTTGCTGTACATAGGTTAAGTTTTGAATCTCACCTGCAGAGGCTGTCATAAACAATTCCAGTGTTGTCCTCCAGTATTGTGGTAAGTACAGATAGAAGTATCCTCCCTATTTCTAAGCCTGGAAACCTGACATTCTCAGATTCTAGTAGGCTCTTTCCCCGTAGATTTTAGATCTGGTGGCCTTTGGTGGGGCAGAAGAATCTAGGTGATCTCTCCTGTACTACAGTTGGGTTCAGTAATAGTCCATCTGAAATCCTTACATGTAAGGTGACCAGCAGGCACTCAGGCTCTGGCTTTCCAGAGGGTAGAAGCTGTGCTCTTGTTTGCCTGCCTTAGGAAGGAGTGTGTTACAGAACAACCTCGTACCTGTGGTACCCACACATCCCTGAGCTAGAAAATGCCTGGAGATTACTCGGCTTTGCTCCACTCAACTACCGCCCGTTGGTGTTGGCGCAGGAGATGAAACCTCTTACCCTTGGCCATGAGTCCTCAGGTTGGAGTCCACTTTGCAGCAGTCCTGGGTGCTCCTTGAATCTGCATCCACAATTTGAAGAGGGATGGGGAAAACTAATTGTACCACCATTTTTTGTTTTGTTTATAAAGATTTATTTTATTTATTTGAAAGAGTTACAGAGGTCTTCCATCCGTTGGTTCACTCCCCAGATGGCCACAACTGCTGGAGTTGTACCTATCCGAAGGCAGGAGCCAGGAGCTTCTTCCGGGTCTCCCACGTCAGTACAGGGGCCCGAGGACTTGGGCCATCTTCTGCTTTCCCAGGCCACAGCAGAGAGCTGGGTCAGAAGAAGAGCAACCGGGACTAGAATTGGTGCCCATGTGGGATGCCAGTGCTTCGGGCTAGGGCTTTAACCCGCTGCGCCACAGCACTGGCCCCAGGAGTAAGCCTTTTTTGAAGGGTGCCCATGGAACCATGCCATTCAAGTCCTGGCCCATCAGAAATGCAGAAGCTCCTTCCCTGTAGCCAGAGCAGGGCTGGGGTCTGGGGTTGACCCTTCAGAGACACTGCCAGGAGTCTGAGTCAGAAGCTGGTTAGCAAAACAAAGCAGAACAGTTGGAGTGGTCACTTCCTTACCGCCATTCCTGAGGCAGGTGTAGAAGGAACAGATGTTTCCAGACGTATCCAGGCCACAGCCGAACTTAGACCAGGAAATGGGGCATGAGCTATGGTCCTACCCTTTTTCCTGCCTAGTTTTCAAGCAATTTCTTTGGCTTTTTGGTTTTCATAACTAAGATGCAAAGGTAGAACCCATGAGACAGTTTCTGTCTCTCCTTTGGTTTTACTGTAAAATCTGCAGGTTGCCCACTGCCATTCCTGCCCTCCATGCACGGGGGAAGTGGTTGATTTTGAGCAAGGCCAGGACTTGAAACTTACAGGACAAAGGTGCATCCGAGGAAGAACAGGTTGCTACCTCTGCACCTTTAGGAGCACATCATGGACAAGCTTGCTCGGGACCTGGGCAGGAAATAAATGGGACCGTCCGCATTGCTCTGAGCATCAAGGGGACTTTGCAGCTGGAAAAGTTCAGGCCCAGGGCTCATCACACCTCACAGGGCAGCAACTTTCAGAGTCTGGCAGAGTATGGTTAGGGTTTTGAGCCAGTGACTGTGCCTCATCCCTAGAAAGAGGAAGGAATGATACCCACAAGGATTATGAGCACAGAGTTGGGCAGTCAGCTCTTAGAAATGAGAGCTATTGACACCACAGCCAGGAACATCAGAAAAGGAGATTAGAAATGAGAAAAGGACATTTTATAGGACTTGACACTCTCTAAAGTCAGCTTCGGATGCTTTAGGTTATAAACTAGGAAAAGAAGTTTCACCTTTCCATTGTTCCTAATATCCCCAGCAGAGGGCCTCCCAGATGGGCCAAAGGCAAGCTGTGATGGAACCTGCTACCATATGAGAAGCAGTAGCTTCACCCAGAGCGGTGTTTGTTCTTGACTCATCTTTAGTTGACGATGGAGAGGCACTGTGGTGGGCTCGTTTTCTCCAGACTAGGGGAAAGAACGGGAAGAGCAGAGACATGCACTTGTCAGGCTCTCCTGCTCAGAGCATGTACTTGAGAGGACATGGAGAAATGAGTCTGACCCTGAGTGGGTCAGGCTTGAAGCTGTTAGGAAGAGTTGCAGATTGGTGCCTCCTCACATAGAGCACCAAAATGTTAGAAAAAGAAGCTCAGAATAGAGAGGCAGTGTACGAATTTACAGCCAGACCGAATTTATTCAGAGAAAATAAATCCATAGAGGTGAGTGACCAACTGCCTGTGTGCACATTGATGGAGCACTTAGAAGGGGTCAGGCCTTTTTAAGGAGGGGTGGGGGTAGGGGGCAGCAGGCCTAGGGGAATTCCTGGAACTGGGTGGGGCCTTGGGAACCTGGAAAAGAATGCAAGGTGGGATATCAAGGCAATAAAGTATGAGGCCCAATTGAGATTCAAGGGTCTCTTTTGGGCAATGAGCAAGAATGGCTGAGGCTTATGTCCTTGTTCCATCAGGAGCTAAGCACTTTGTATACAAGGGAGCTTCAAAAAGTTCTATGATGGGGCCTATGTAGTAGTGCAGTAGATTGAGCTGCCTCTTGCGATGCCAGCATCCCATATCAGAGTGGCAGTTCCAGTCCTGGTTGTAGGACCCTGCCATCCATGTGGGAGACCTGGATGGAGTCCCTGGCTCCTGGCTTCAACCTGGCCCAGACCTGGCTGTTAATTTTGGGGGTGAACCAGAAGAAGGAAGATAGCCCCCACCCCACCCCCTACCTTTCAAATAAATCTCTTTAAAAGTCATTGAAAGTGGAATTAAAAGATGTTTATTTGCATGCAAAACAACTTCAAATCCTTTTATATGAAGATTATCAAAAATACATGTGGTTTTCAGGAACTTTTTTAAAAAAATAGTAATGATGATGAATGTATTTGTTGGAGAGGCAGAGGGAGAGTTCCCATATGGTTCACTCTGGAAATACCTTTAATAGGACTGAGCCAGGCCATAGCAGGGAATCAGGAACTCAATCCAGGTCTCCCACATGGGTGGCTGGGACCTATTTAATTGGGCCATCACCTGCTGCCTCTCAGGGTGCACGTTAGCTGGAAGCTGGAATTAGGAGTGGAGCCAAGACTTGGACAGAAGTATTCTGATACAGGATGTAGGTATCACATTAGCATCCTAACCACTAGGCCAAAAGCCTGCTGTGAAACTCACTTTTTAATTCCATTTGTCCACAAACTTTTTAAAGTCCCCAGTACTTTAAGCCTCCTGACAGTGCTGAAGACAGTAATCATCCCAATTACCCAATGAGCATCCCAATGTTGCTGGTGTCCTCAATTGCAAATAAGAGAAACCAGCAAGTTCCTGAGAACCTGAACCCAAGAACCTGCTGTGAACCTGTCCCTGCTGGGGCAGGGACACAAACTAGCTTCTAGCCCAGATGCTGCAGTAGAGAGGCTATGATGGGTCACATACCATGGGAACAGCATCCTTGACTTTGATAAGACATTTGAGCATCTGCTAAGAGCAAAAGGCTGTGGGTGCAGGGCTGATTCCAGTTCCACTCTATAAACTCCCTTGTAGAGAGAATAAATCCAGGGCAGGAAAAACCATTGCAAGGGCTGCATGCTTTGGGAAGGAAGAGCTTTGGGAAGGTGTGGTGACCTTTGAGAAGCATGTTCTAACAGTAACAGGGGCAGAGGAAGGGAGAAGATGAGGTGTTCAGGCACAGGAGTGGCATGAGGAAAGGCAAAAAGGTAGCATGAGGTAGTGGAGAGCAAGTAGGCAGCCTGGGCTCTGGAGTCGGCATGTGGTGGAGTCCTGATGCTGTCACTAGCAAGGAATGCCCCTGTGTGTGCCTTCCAGCTGCCTTCTGTAACAACCACTGGGATCCTCACTGGGCTGCTGTAAGGACTGCAGGAACCAGCGCAGTAAGCACATCAGGAATAGCCGCTGCTCTTACATAACATACTTCATGGAGGCAGGGAGGGAAGGGGCCAGGAGCCTCACTGGAAATCATACCAAGGAGGCTAGAAAGTTTGAACTTGAAGTTGGCTTGTAATGGAGAGGAAGGAGAGGCAGTATCC